TAGTGGCTGAGAAAATTGAAGTTTTACTGAATCAACAGAAATGGAAAATGTCCAAAATTTCCTCTTTTCTATAAGAGAACTGGGTTAACTAGTAGAATCTGGATGATATTTTGAGGTGTGTGGTTAAAATGTGATCATTCAGCATGAGTTATACTCCACATTATTATATAACAGTTAGTGCAGAACTAGTTTCAGTCACTTCATTACATCCTATTTCAAGGGTGAAGATATGTATGTAGAAGCATACATGTAAAGTCCTAATAGACGCTAAACTCTGTATAACTCTTGTATGATGCAGTAGCATTACATACTATGCCAGTCTAATAACTCACAGTGTAATATACTGTTCCAGCATAAAAAAAAACACTACTCACAGAGAAATATTCTGTGCCAACATAACAACCATGCCTGTCAAGATAAGGGGTCAGGTTCAGAGACCAGTAGCTATAGCAGTAGAGAGCAGGGGCAGACGGACAACTCATGGGGCCCACGGGCAATAGGGGATCATGGGGCCCCTGTGTCCTTGCCCAAACTCAAAAAAGCCTATGAAAAAGGTACCAGGGGCATCTCATGGGGCCCCCTACTGACCCCGGGCCCTCGGGCAGTACCCGAGTTTCCAAATGGTCAGTCCGCCCCTGGTAGAGAGGCTCCCAGTAACCAGCTGGATAAGTGGTGGATGACACGGGCTCACCTGAAGTGTGCTAATTCTAAGCACTAACCAGTGTTCACCAGAGCTCCAGATGGTGGAGATGGGTTTTGCTGTGTGTTAATACCTCAGGATCACCTCACCAGGGGCCGGGATCCAGTAGCAGATATAGCAGGTAAGGATCAAGCAGAAGTGCAGTCAGTAAAAAAGCATAGATTAGTAACAAGTGGTCACAGGTTGGGATCAAGCAAAAGTATAGTTGAGGAACAAGCCAAAGGTCAGTAACGAATGGTAGAGGACAGGGGCGGACTGACAACTCATTGGGCCCCCGGGCAATAGGGGATCATGGGGCCCCTGTGTCCTTGCCCAAACTCTAAAAAGCCTATGAAAAAGGTACCAGGGGCATCTCATGGGGCCCCCTACTGACCCTGGGCCCTCGGGCAGTACCTGAGTTTCCAAATGGTCAGTCCGCCCCTGGTAGAGGAGATACCAATTGCAGCAGGAGTGACAGGAGTGAGGCATTGGATGGTGAGAGCACAGAAATCTGGCAAATAGGAAATGCAAAGGCATAGCTAAAATAGGAAGTTCATGGGAGAAGCAAAGGGTTCAAGGTTCAAGAGAACCAATGATCAAGGCAAGATCATTTAGGGAATTGTCCAGGAAACTGGCCAGCATACCAGGTGGGTCAGCGCAATAAAACATTGCTAGCATAATAACCCCACCACTCTCCATGGAATATCCTGTGTCAGCATAATATCCTCTCCACTTTCTTATGTCAGCATAATAACCCAACAATTCTTATCACCACAGCAACCCAACCACTCTCAGAGCAATATCTTGTGCCAGCATAATAACCCCACCACTCTCAGTGTAATACCTTATGCCAGCATAGTTTTAATTTCCAACTAAATGCAACCAGCTTTCAATTTCAAAAACAAATAGATCAAGGCACCTACCACAGTATAGATATCAAAAATATCAGGTTTGGGAAAATCGATCCCTCTTTTAACCCTGAAGACCATGTGTGTGGGTGTCAAAAATTATCATGCTTTAGGGCCAGTGCTTTGTGCAGCATGGCATGAGGAAACAGTACCAATGGAGTTGTTTACAACTGCCATTTTAGTTTGTTTTTGGACTGTAAAACTGAAGAAATCCAGCAATAGGTCTAAATAAGGTAAAACTCCTACAATTATTGCTATCCAGTACCTGAGATTTCCTAACAATTCTTGTCTGGTGACACAACAAAAAGAAAATCTCATTATGGATACAGGTAGCAGCAAAACCTGAGAAATAGTTAAACCCTTATCCATTATACTAGTAAAAGTGTTTTACTGATAAAAGTGTCCCCATTGGAGAGATTATCCTCACTTCCTGTATTGGTGATCCAACTGGCAATGAGGGCAGTCTCCCCCATAGGATTGGTTTGTGCTTCCAAAATTTTGCCAAAATCCACTCTTCCATTGACTCTAATAAATTTGGTATAAGAAAAAATATATATATTTTGTTAAAACTGATTTTGACAAATAACACTGAAATTTACTGTTCATCCCTACTGCAGGCACAGCAGTACAAAATCTTACGGAGATTTAACTCTTCCTTATGCTATCCAAAATGTGCACAGATTTGATCAGAGTTCTGCATTAACAACTTGGACCTATTTTCTGCTTCATTTCATTGGTGGATTGTACAGTGTAATGATATAGAAATCAGATAAACTGCCTCCAGCAACACAGTTTGGCTTTTCGTCTTTAAAAATATCATGTAACAGGTTTAGCAGTAAAAGAATTGGATCCCATAAGAGAGGGCATCAACATTCACTTATGCCTAGGGCACAATGATTTCTCATTATAGCCCTAGGCACAAAGCATATCTCAAGCCAGAAGTACATGCAAAGGAAAAAATGTAATACATGATCATAACTGTTTACAAATCTTAATATTTTACCTCCCTGTGAAATGTTGGTTTATATATATTTATATTTATATATAATTTTTTTTTAATTCTAGCACAGGAAGGGTCTGCTAAAATAGGGCAATCTGAACATACATACTTAAGCATACCTGAAAATGATATACAGTATTCTCAACATCTGGACCATTCCCAAATCCCCCTTTGCTCTGTAATATATAAACCAACCAAATAAAACCAATTACAGCATTAATAACACCACAAAGCTGTGTGTGAGCTCCAAGTCACAATTTGGAGCTTGGATAGGATTGAAGACTCTCTTGCTGCTCATATGGGAGGACTAGGACAGGGATGGGGGCATTTGTTCCCTGGGACAGTATTATATGTTGGGCTGGTGACCACTAAGAGCAGATACTTTTCTATTCAATCACTTATTAGTGCGTGACCCACAGTCACATGTTGGGTATCATATAGCTACCAGCTCCCTATGCAGGCCTGTTATCACAGCTTCTAACAGATGGATGTCTTTTACCACCAACTATCTTGCCACATTGAGGTGTTATTTGTTTCCACAAAGGAAACTGATGCTGGAATATTTTGAAGCCATGCCTTTTAAGAATGCCCACCTTTCAACATGCCAACCAGTCAATGAGACACCATGTTCTCAGACATAAAAGGACCCAACTCAAAGGTTTCCAGTCCTCCACTACTCCTTGTGAAAGAGGTGCATGTCTGAGTGGTCAATCAACAAGCACCAGCACTGTCACATGAGAAAAAGGGGAGCAATGTATTACCTACCTACCAAGAATCCCCAAGTGTTTTCCTTTGCTCCCAGCAGCTGAAAAAGGCTTGCATGGCCAAAATACAAGTTCACCCTAAAGCACTTAGCAGGTAGGTGCCTTCCCATTTTGTGGAACATTAATTTTCAATTCAGACTGGAATGTAGCTTTAAGTAATTACTTTTTTGCTATTTGCAAGGCTTCTTTTTAAAAGCTCCAAAAACCCAACAGGATTAAAAATTCAGCTCATTTTTCTGCACCTTTCATGATAATATATGACATATGACTGAGAAGAAGATTGCTCCTCATATATTACATACATTAATACACACAGAAATTGTTCTAACAGAAATAAGACAATTTAATTCCCTTTTATCTCAGCACAGTTTCTTCTGTGACCTCATGCATAAATTTGCAATTATCTGCACGTTACTCTGTGGACTTGAACAAGAGTACAATAGACAATAGGGAACAGGTTATACAGCTGTCCTTCACTGATCTGCTCAACTCCCCAGATTCGTTTTCATTAGGCAGTCACAAAGACAGAACTGCAGAAGTTTGGCTTTATATTAGTACTTCTTTGTAATAAAATGCAAAACATTCACTTATTGTTCTTGGCATTGTAGAAACACCTAAAAGCCATGAGCTAACAAAATGCACTGAACTGCTGTATGTGTTATTTTGAATACACATTTTTAAAGGATTTAAGGCCAATTACAAACCCCTATCTGCCCCCCTTCCCTGTACACCATATTTTTTTTTAATCCTTCTCTACTATCCCCAAACCCTTGTTCCAAGCGGCGCTTACATAACCTCCAACCAACTCTCAGCTCTTCATCCAGTGGGTGGAACTTTTTTTTTATGGTTGAACTGGATGGTCTTTTGTCTTTTTTTTTTTTTAGCCAAACTAACTGTGTGAGTGTGCAATATACACAATATTGCCAAATGTATTAGGACACCTGCCTTTACACGCACCTGAACTTTAATGGCATCCCAGTCTTAGTCCGTAGGGTTCAATGTTGAGTTGGCCCACCCTTTGCAGCTATAACAGCTTCAACTCTTCTGGGAAGGCTGTTTACAAGGTTTAGGAGTGTGTCTATGGGAATGTTTGACCATTCTTCCAGAAGTGCATTTGTAAGGTCAGGGCACTGATGTCGGACGAGAAATCCTGACTCACAGTCTCCGCTCTAATTCATCAAAAGCATTCTGTTGGGTTAAGGTCAGGACTCTGTGCAGGCCAGTCAAGTTCTTCCACCTTAAACTTGCTCATCCATATCTTTATGGACCTTGCTTTTTGCATTGGTGCGCAGTCATGTTGGAACAGAAAGGGGCCATCTCCAAACTTTTCCCACAAAGTTGGGAGCATAAAATTGTCCAAAATGTCTTGGTATGCTGACGCCTTAAGAGTTCCCTTCACTGGAACTAAGGGGCCAAGCCCAGTCCTTGAAAAGAACCTCACACCATAATCTTCCCCTCCACCAAACTTTACACTTGCCACAATGCTGTCAAGCAACTACTGTTCAAACCCAGACACGTCCATCAGATTGCCAGACAGGGAAGTGTGATTCGTCACTCCAGAGAACATGTCTCCACTGCTCTAGAGTCCAGTGGCGGTGTGCTTTACAGCACTGCATCCGATGCTTTGCATTGCACTTGGTGATGTAAGGCTTGGATGCAGTTGCTCGGCCATGGAAACCCATTCCATGAAGTTCTCTACGCACTGTTGTTGTGCTAATCTGAAGACCACATGAAGTTTGGAGGTCTTAAGCTACTGTCTCTGCAGACGGTTGGTGGCTTCTACACACTGTGTGCTTCAGCATGCGCTGACCCCGCTCTGTCATTTTACGTGGCCTACCACTTTGTGGCTGAGTTACTGTTGTTCCCAGTTGCTTTCACTTCATTTTAATACCACTAACAGTTGACTATGGAATATTTAGTAGCAAGGAAATTTCACAAATGGACTTAATGTACAGGTGGCAACCTATCACGGTACCACGCTTAAATTCACTGAGCTCCTGCTCACAAATGTTTGTAAAAGCAGTCTGCATGCCTAGGTACTTGATTTTACATACCTGTGGCCATGGAGGTAATTGGAACACCTGAATCCAATGATTTGGTGGGGTGTCCCAATACTTTTGGTAATATAGTGTATACATGTAAAGCATTGTGTAAATTAATGGCTCTATATTTTAAGTACCTGTAATAATAAATAAATAAATAAACCCAGTGGGGACTATATATCTTCTCTTCAGGTAAATTATGGCTTTGTTAATGCCATCTCTCTCTCTTGATAAGCAATGGATCACAAGAAGATAATGAAAAACTAAGGCTGGGTAAACACTAGTAGGTTTTTAAATGGAAATTCGTACAAATATTATCAGTACATTTGATGGCTTAATGAATGTTGTTTGAAATCTCATTTGCTTTTAACATTCACTATTGGAAAGTAAGAATAAAACACATACACTGTTGGAAAAAACATTGTTCGAGAAACCATATAAAACATGTAGTGCAGAGCTAAAACTATGTGATCTTAATCGTTAATACCAGTGAAACACAATATAAATCACCATATAAAGAATAATTATGGATAACGTCCGTACAACCATATATCAGAATGGTAAGTGTCCCACAATAATGTGAATTATTCTAATAAATTTCAACATGTGTATCAATAGGTGACTTCTCTTAATCCCAGTGATAACTGTAGTCCGGTGACTTGCGTAAAGGAATGATAAAATTGCACACTCACCAGAGGCGCAATATAAATGTGCATATAAATCAGATAAGCCCGAGGTTCCCTCAGTTCTGGGAAAGATGCAGCCTGGAATGGACAACCACTTCTATAGCTTCTAGAGGTCCCCTTTAGGTCTGCGGTGAGGGTCTGTAATAGATGTCTCTCTTCTGGGCCCTGGGATGGTCACCTTGGGTTCCTGGGGGACTAAGTGCTCGGTACAGAGCAAAAAATGGTGCCCATAGTGTAGTATTTCACATATAAAATGTTTTATTTAGTAGTGAAAAAGATAAATGAACACACATTTAAATAATACTCATGGGTCAGTATGGAGTAAAAATTTGCAAATATGTAGCATGGAGTAAAATCTGCAAATAGGTAGCATGCAGCCTAAAAGCTGCTGGGTGCACTAACCAGCTTGTTAAAAAGATGGCCACTGGACCTCTGTGATTTGGCGGCATGACGTCTCAGCGTGCGGGGCTCGTCCTTAAGAAACAGAGAAACATTTAATATTCTGATCCCTCAAGTTTTCTTGCCTTGTTTTAAAAAAATGGAAGTCAATTTCACCCAAGCCTAAGCTCAACTCTAGCTAAAACTATTTCTAGCATAGAGTGTGGAAAAGTTAGGATTACGTTTAATTGCTGCTGTCTGTATCCTCATTTGGGAGATTTAAGCTCACTTTTAGTCTGTTAGGACAGTATCACAAAGAACAGGAAGCAAGGAAAACACAGGAGGCAATAAAAGCTAATTTCTAGTAGAGTTCAGAAGGTTTAGAACCGCTGTCTGAATTTTATTGCTACAGTTCTTAAATATCTCTCTGGGACTGTCCCTCTTTTGTAACCAAATCCTTCTGTTTCTCATCCCTTCCCAGATGTCCCTTTTTGACCTCTGGTCCTTATCAATAAATGTCCTATTTAACTGGCAGTGGTGTGGTGGTGGTTCACTAATGTTTTTATCAATCATTCAGGGCTGATTTACATGTATGCATTTGTAGGAACACACATTAACGTGTGCATTACTGTAAAGCAGGTTACATTGCAATGCCGTTAATTGTAATTTTGAATAGCACCCCAATGGGCTGCTTTAAAGGGTTAGTTCATCTTTTCTGCACATTTCCAACAAAACTCCCAACACATTCCATTATCTTCAGATCATTATATACCACTGCTTTTTCAGAAGGTGTTCCTTTTCCATTCCATTACTGTAGGCCATGTGTGCTATCTGTAAAAACCCCAGGTAGCTGAACCCCCCTCTGTCTTGTCTAAATGGCAGGATGGACCAAGGGTTAGAAGTGTGCTCCCAGTGGGCACCCTGGCTCTTTCAAACTGCATGCATGCACAGTACACTCTCTTATTATCGTTGTGTAATGGACGCTGCTATTATTATTATACAGGATTTATATAGAGCCAGCAGTTTGCGCAGCACTTTATGGACAGTACAATTACAATACAATTTAATACAGTAGGAAACAGAGGACCCTGCTTGTTATATCTGATAAAGGGAGAAAAAGCACCCTGTGCCTACATACAATTTGAATCAACCAGACCATTGGCTTATATACAGAAGTGCAGCGCTAGAAACAAAATTCACTAATCATACATTATATTAACTTACGGTTGGGTTGGGCCATAGGAGGTGACGCCACCACACATGTCAATACTAGAAGCTGCTCCGTGGAATGAGACAGCGGCTGATCGGATGGTATAGACGCCGTGTGTACTGTTTGTTCCTGGCTGTGTTCACAGTGCTCTATATGCTCAACCGCAATGGCTGGAGGCCTGGAAGATGTCTGTTTATGGTGAAACACATCAGTGGGAGCCCCCCTCATGACATCATCGTGTACAGGAAGTGAACTGGAACCTGGTGCCATCAATGCCGTCTTGTGTTTTTTCTACTTATTTTGCATGACTATGCTTACCTGTGTTGAGCTTACCATACATCTGAGGAGTGATACTGGTGAATAGTACTGGGATTGACGTTGAGAGTTGCCATTGAGGTTGAGCACTTATGACCACTCTGAATAAGGGGGTCTTTTCATCTGGTAAACCTGCGGTAAGCCTGCATCTTATCCTGACTACTGTGGCGGGTTCCACTGGTGTTAGTGGATGAAGAGAGAAGTTGTGGAGTACTAATACTTTTGATTCACTCACTGTATAGAGTGGTATGGACTCCAGAGAGAGAGATATCATATTACCCCGGTACAAATCATTAGTAAGACCTCATCTGGAATATGCAGTTCGGTTTTCGGCACCACTTCACAAAAAGAACATTAGGGAACTGGAGAAAGTACAGAGAAGGGCAACTAAACTGATAAGAGGCATGGAGGAGCTCAGCTAGGAGGAAAGATTAGAGGAACTGAATTTATTCTCTCTTGAGAAGAAGAGATTAAGGGGGGATATGATCAACATGTATAAATATATCAGTGGTTCATATAGTGAACTAGATGTAGAGTTATTCACCTTGAGGTTATCACAGAGGACAAGGGGGCACTCTTTACGTCTGGAGGAAAAGATATGTAATCTCCAAATACGGAAAGATTTCTTCACAGTAAGAGCTGTGAAAATGTGGAATAGACTCCCTCAAGAGTTGGTTCTGGCCAGCTCAGTGGATTGCTTTAAAAAAGGCCTGGATTCTTTCCTAGATACACAGAATATAACTGGATGCTAACATTTATAGGTAAAGTTGATCCAGGGAATATCCGATTGCCTCTCGAGGGATCAGGAAGAAATCTTTTCCTCCTCAGGAGCAAACTGGATCATGCTTTGCTGTTTTTTTTTTCCTTTCTCTGGATCAATTGTGGGTATAGGATTATATTCTTTTTTTTGGGTTGAACTGGATGGACTGGATGGACAGCCAAACTAACTATGTAACTGTGAACGTTTTCACCATTATTTTAGTTTAATTAATATTTTTGTGTTTTTTTTTCAGAGGGGACATTTCTGTGGACATTTCTTTATGCACTATTTATTGAAAATATATCTGTGAACATTTTTTGATCATTTTATTTGTTATGTTTATCAGTGCAACACTTATTATTGTAATGTGTAAGTGCAGCAGTTGTTATTTATTTTTACCCACCATTATCACAATACTTGTCCTGACAACCCCTTCTTCTGCCCCTTTCTTCCTAGGCTGGCACCATCTTTGTTGGAGCATTATCCAGAATCAGTATTTGCTTCCTGGACTGGGATGCTGGCTCAGAGATGACACAATTTTGTAAATCCTGGTGCCTGTGCAGCTCCTGGCTGTGTTCACAAATGGCTGACAGATCATCTCCTGTTGTCCCTCTGATCTTATGACTTACTAGAAAGTTATAAAGCTGCAGTCTGATCCCTGGAGGAAGGAATAGTAAGGAAATACTCCATCCTGTCTGCAGAGGACCAAACATAATTTCAGCATCATTCAAGGAAACCTGACTGGACCACATGGAGTGCGTCCTGATAACAGGTACAGATGTTTTGAAAAATCTTACTGTTGCTCTATGTTGTAATGTGAGCATTTTATTTATGGAGACTTGTAAATGAATGAACTTCCCAATTTAAAAACTGACAGAAGTACCCATTGAAACGTTTCTGAACCGAAAAAAAAAATTGTCTGGAGTTGGTCTTCATTTCGGTTGATTTTTTTAAAGTGATATTAAGCTCTCATTTTAAAAGAAAGTTGCTGACAGATAGACCCTATTAGCCTCTTCTATCATAAATGTTTCCCCCTCCCTGTCAGCTGTAATGCATATAACCAATGTGCTGCACTACACAAAAACCAAATATTCATAAATTAATAAAAAAACTAAGAAAAGTCCATGTAAAGTCTGAAAAAAGTGGTTGTAAACTCTTACATATACCCAGTGAAGTAACTGAACTCAGGTGATACACAGAGATTAAACAAATCATCCTACATATGTTGTACCTGTTTATCTACAGCTACTGTTCCCATACATCCATTCAACGTGCAGAATTCACATAGAATATCTCAGCTCCGAAAAACAGGGGGCGGGGAGCTGAAGTAGCATCAGTGAGGAGAACTCTGAGAGCTGATTGGAGGGAAGGGACACACCCCACTTCACACAGCTCACAGGAACAGAGCTGAGTCTGTCAATCTATTGGAGGTCCCTCTCCTGTCACCATTTTTCTCTTGGTGTCAGGAAAACTTTGTCAGAAGTGATAAATGCTGATAGAGAAATGATGCAGAGGACAGAAATGACACTTAGTGTTCTTATTTGAGACAAGGACACACTATAGAGGGATATGGTTTGTTCATATTTTATGTCTGAGGTTTACAACCATTTTATATAAAAGTGTAAATCCATTCTCTTTT